TATGCCAGCCGATGAGTATGGATGGTCCAAAGACGTACCACCTCGCAGATGATCACGTCGGGGTCACCAGTTATGGTGGTCTCTCATGAATGAAGACACTGAGGCAAATCTTGAAGCCAAATCGGGATGAGAGCACAGGGCAAGCTCTGACACCCTCTTTTATTAGAAGCAATCTTTGTTAACGTTTGCAATTTTTTGTTAGTGTGTTGTTACAAACTCATTACATAACACAAAATACCATATGAGAATACAAAGCTGTAAAGTTTAAGTTTGCTACAATTCTGGGTAAGAAGTGGCAACATTTCGACCTTGTCCCTCGCCTCGTGTTACAAACAACTACCAGAAGGCCCGTTGTCCTTGCACGCGCACGAGGAAACAGATAGCAATTCCCACAGAGCAACACCTTAGTGATATCAAAAAATTAAGGAGACTGAATCCTGGTTAGTATTTAGATGAGAGATCACAGCAAATCCCAGGACCGAAGGTTAACCAGGAAGTTGGGGGGGGGGGAACAGAATGCAGGAGAAACCCACTTCTATATTTCTGCCAAGAAAAGTATGTAAACATATTTATATAGCTATCAAGATTCCAGCTCAGCTCAATGGTGCCTTAGCTAATATTATTCTGCTTCTAGGTAATAGTCCCAAGGTAATAATAGTGCCTCAGCTTGAATCTGATTGACTTTGAGTGGTCTAAGAATAGGCAATCTCAAGACCACACAAAAAGTTCATCTGCAACCTGGTTGAAAAAGGCAGTCTATGAACTTTGTCCTGGAAGTTTGTACCAGTGAGTTCAATGGAACTTACTTGAAAGGCTGTATTACAATGCTGTATAATTATCTAGATTGCAAGGATAATATTCCCTACAAAGACTTAGTTTCCAACTTTGCTAAAAAAAAACAACAGAATGAAACAGCAAGCATTTTAGAATATCTGAATTGTAATTTACTTCTATGGAAGTTGGCATAAAAATTATGCTTATTCTATGTATTTCATATAAGATGAGCCACATTCTGCCATGTTTGTCAGGCTTCTTGTCCTGTGTTCCAAGCTAAGATTAAATCTCAGAAACAACTCACCTGTGCTGTATTTAACTATAGTTGAAGTAGTCTGACAGACTGTAAATCATACATTTTTTCATACTCTGTTATTAAACAATGCCGTCACTAAGTGAGAAATCGTGATCAGGAATTTCTTTTTCTCAATCCACTTCCCTTTGAAATGTTCAGTCCTGTGCTGTTTGACACCTTCTGCCTTTGTTTGCCTCCTAATTCCCCGTCCCATAATTAGCAAGATGAGAATTTTTTTCTGTATTTACGTTCACCGGAGAGGGAGGAAATAGTCCTTGAGCTAGATCATTCATTCAGCAACTATTCAAATTTATGATGATAACAGAACACCAGAGCTGAATGGGGCCTTGGAGGTCTTCTAGTCCATCCATGATTGCTGAATGAAGGTGATTACAACCAGCCCTCGTAGCCCTAGCAGTCCCACATCCTTGCCATCCCCATTTGTGGCCCTCCCTGTCAGCTTCCTCAGAAAATTAAGAGAAGGTCGTGGGTCATTGGGATAAGCCTCTGCCACCCGTGAACCTTCCTCCAGCCCCTCTGAGGTTGAGCTATACTGACCAATTACATATCCTCATGCACCCTTCCCAATGTGCACCACACCTCCACACATTCTCCCTAATTGACGCTATACCCCCTCACACACACTTTCACACACACTTTCTGCACTGCGCCTCTTGTGCACTCCCTCACAGCCTCTCCCTGACCCCTGACTCTCACTCACACCCTCACCCCATCCCTGACCCACACCACACCCTCATGCACCCTCCACGACCCTTCCCAATACTATTGCACATTGTACTGTCTTGTAATTCTTTCCTCTCAAAGCTCTCCATTTTACTGTGGGGAGGGGGGGGAGAGATAAATAAGCAATTCCAATAAGCAATCTTTCCTGTGCATGACCGTTTTTTTTCTTTCTCCCTCTCACAAGAAAAGATTTATTTTTATTCTGATTGTGTTATTTTTATAAATAACTCAAAGTAGTGAACATACTTGACACCCCTTCCTTTTCCTCTTTTCCTCACAATAACATCCCTGTTAAGGTGAGCAGGGCTGAGAGAGAGTAACTGGCTCAAAGTCACCCAGCTTGCTTTCATGTCTAAGGTAGGACTCACAGCCTCCCTGGTTTCTAGCAAGTTCACAACTCCCAGCCCTGAGAACGTTTAGGGATGCTGACGCCACAGTATTTCTTTCAATGTGTATTTTCCATTGTATGCCTTGCTTACTTTCTTGTAAAAGCAACAGAAAAACAGAGATAAGGCATAGGATGTGTAACTGATAGCAATCAAATGTGACTGAGTAATGTTGTGAAGGTCATAAATGCAAATATTGATCGCATAAAGTTATTCTTTTTAGTACCTAATTTATCCCAATCCTACTTCTGAATGATCACTGAATGAGGGAGATAATAAGAAAGGACTACCTATATTTTCTATTCCATTCAAGGAATCAAGATGGGACCATTTATGACAATTGTTGGGCTGTGGATTATAAGGAAAGTTAGGGGGGAAAGGTTACCATCAACTATATACCAATAATTTCTATTCATCGTATTATTAAACTACACAAAAATTGAACACATCATTTTAAATGGTATAATCTTCTAATTTTAGATCTAGTTTTAGAGACAAATTAAACCCTTCCTTCTTTAGTCATGTTCCAATGAAAATTACCCCTCTGTTTGTATCAGCTTTAGAGAAAGCATACATTAGAAAATGTTATCAAATTTAAAAAAAAACTGACATAGATTCTAATGACATATTTAGCATCATATTATTCCCCCAAGGAAATGATGAAAGTTGAAGGGCTTTGTTTGCATTTTTTAAAAGAAGGTGCACATACATGACGATTCAAATCCTAACCTTGTTAATTACAATTAAGTACTTTGAGTTAATTGCTGAATTCTCCTATGAAAGCTTGTTAGCTTATTCTTAGCTGTATATATTACATAGCATACAGTACTGTATCAAAGATTAGGTCCAAGTCTAAGAAACAAAGTTATTTAAACAAATATTTCCTTTAACTGGAACATGATTCCTAGACAATTATCAGCCATTTCTGTTGCAAGGCTATTCTACTTTCACCAACTTCTTATAACCAACAGTTCCATAAAAGTTTTTCTTTCAATTGAATCAGCCTTAAAGGTATGTAATACTTACAGCAATAATTCTTATAACTGGGGTTAATTATTCCCAAAGTGGAAGTTTGGGCATATTCTGAAAATAATGGAGCAATTTGTAATTGCTTCTTTGAGTCTAGGATCCACTTTGGGACGGCCACTGCCAAGACCCTTATGTAAAACAATAGTGTGCATTTTTGTGAGGGCTATGACCTTAATTCAAGACCAGGAAAAGGGGTAATTGGATCAAACCATTTCAGAACCATTCTGCAAGAAAACAGAGTAGCATTTATATTCATATACTGTAGCACGTATTGTTGTATGTATATATTCACATGGCTTCTATAAAGATAAACTGCCTGAAAACTAGGATTTCATTATCGATAAAAATGTGAGTTGGTATCCAGAAACACAAAACACCGTCAAATGAAAGGCTTGTGTGAAGGCAACAGCAGGGATGAAAGATGAGCTATATGCTACAGTAGAGAAATTATTAACTTAAACTGCCGTAATGTTTAAATTTACAGTTTATTACTGTGTAAATTACAAGCGATACTTTGGGTAATTAGCAGCTTGCTGGCAGGGAGCTTTGAATGAAACTCATTATTTATTATTACAATTTAGAAGAGAAGAGAGGAGGGGGAGCAGTGACCTCCACTGCGAATGACATAGATCCCTTTAAGGTGATGAAGATGAATTAAACGTAAATATTATTTTTCTCATTAGAGGAATCTTTAAGAAGCCTAGGACCCTAGGCCTTTACCAGTGGCCTAATAGTCCCTTGCCCAAGACATAATATTCACTATAACTAGAACATATTTCAACTCCTTAACTTGATTAGGTAAGTAGAGAGAAAGGGCTTGAAGAATTTGTTGAAGATGGAAGAGGCACTTTGAAATAAAGAAGCAGCCATTCACACATTAAGCTAATTAACCGATGAGTCAAACCTTTTTAACACATAAGATTCTTCTTTCTAGGCACAAATGAAATTCCTAAAATAGCAATAACACTTAGACTTATATACCGCTTCATAGTGCTTGACAGCTCTCTCTAAGTGGTTTACAGAATCAGCACATTGCCCCCAACTATCTGGATCCTCATTTTACTAATCTTGGAAGGATGAGTCAACCTTGAGCTAATGCAACCCAAACTGCCAAACTACTGGCAGCTGACAGTCAGCAGAATTAGCCTGCAATACTCCATTGCACCACCACAGCTTTAAATAAACTCCACATAAGTCTAACTACTGTATTTTTACACATGCTTGCAAATTAAGCTCTCCCAAAATCTTTCTGCTTAATATGTGGGATATTGAGATTGCAGGATTCCAGCTTCACACACAAAACGATTCCAAGGTTGGTAAGAAATGCTTGAATATATATATTTCATAAAGAATGAAATGAATTGCAAATGACAGGCACAACTCTGGGCATTTAAATCTATTGTAATACAAGAACCACATTAATATGTCAATCAATATTTATTTCCTCCATCCCAACTGTCAAAACAGCTTCCCTCATCCCAGGAGTCCATTCCTTTTTGCTTGGTACCAACACTCTTTCTTCTATTAGCAGATTCTTTTTATACTGCACACATTCATATTTAGGCAGCCTCCTTTTCATAACAACGGATTATTTTCCAACAGAACCTCATTGACATTTTTTTTAAAATTATCAATACATTTATACATAACTAGAGTTTGTATATGAATACACATTTGAAACTGTTAGAATGAACCACATGGCACATTTCACCAATAACTGACATTCTTGACATTATGTGTTAAACAAATTATCATCCCCTATAAAGCAATACCTTGCTAACCAGCCTTCTACGGCCCTTCCTAAGGCAACGGGTAGTAACACTGGGAAGACGGTTCAAGCGAGGGTGAAATCCTGAAAAGAAAGAAGAATATAATGAAGAAATGTGAAAAAAATACAAACAGAATCAGCTGGAATAAAGAACAAGAATCTAGATGAGCTTCTGATTTCCAGGTTCTGTTCTATGGAGCTTACACATATTATAAACTAGGGTGAGAATGCACTATGTATTGCAGTGCCTTATTTTCACAAGAGTGTGCTATAAAGTATATGGTCTATTTCATTGTTAAGCAAGCCAATTCCTTACAGTCAAAGAACTGAAATTAATTCAGGTGCACAAAACAGAATTAGAACATATCACTATTACTTCAATTCATATGTATGCAAATTCATATTGGTTTCTCAGGTATGTAACTATGATCCCTAGTTTCTACATTACAGTATAATCCAAGCTACTATTCTATTCTCTCCAACATATACTCTGAAAGTTGCACCTGCCTATCACATGTCTGATTTGAGCTATGGTACAGTATATCCACAATATGCAAGTATTCACGTAAGAATCTCACCTCTTGTAACAGGCCGAGAGGGCAGAAGGAATGTTGGCTCTGAGATTTTGTCAAGGCTCGAGTCCATTCGTTCCATATCAGACGGGCAGTCAGGTCCCCACTTGGGCAAAAGGTTGGGGACTGTGAATCCTGAGACACATTCACCCTCATAGAACCAATCACTCTGTTCATCATCACCTAGGAAAGAAATAAAAAGCTATTCAAATATATTCTTACTGGGAATCTCCTCACATACACTAAAAAACCAGAACCAATGAACAGGCAAAAGTTATGAAGCTGTGAGTAGAGGACAATTTAAAGGTAGTCACAACCTTTGCTTTTTTTTTTTTTTTAATCTTGCAGGCTTGGAGAGGCAAAATAGGAGCACTGTCAAAACTCACTCAGGGGTGTACCAGTTGCAGTGTGACCAGACAATCTGGGAGCACCTTTGACTTCTTTTAATGTAAAGAGGCAAAGCTGGAGGCAAAGCTTATCCTGGCCTTTGCTATTTTGCCTGCAGTTGCATTCCACCAATTTTGACATCTTTTGTGATATGTCAGCTAAAATGTAATTGTTAAAAACAGTAAATTTACTTCTTACCAAGACTTGACATAACTGAAATCATTAGATTTATTCATAGAGGATTCACACAAATTCATTAATTGTTTTAGGGGACTGGTTTATTACAAATTTTGGGAACCACTCTTCTAAGATAAATCTATCCCTAAATTCATACATGACAATGAAATCTTAAATTATAATAATAGGTACTGCATCTTGATGACTCTATAGTTATCTGTATCTCCATGTCCCACTCAAATGAACCCGTAACTATCCTTGCCTTTCTTAGAAGAGACAACATATTTAATAATAACTCAGCGCATTTTTAGGCCATTTTAAATGTTTTTACATTATTACAGAAATGGTAATACTCAAGTGCAAGCCCACTTCCCCTGGCCACCTCTCCAGATATTACTAAAGTGCAACTCACAGCAACCCTCATCATTTTAGTTGGGTCTGTTGAAACTTACAATTCAGCAAAATACCAATGGCCACAACATGTTCACCTTTGCTTTAATAAATGGCATGGGATGTAAAATGGAGAGAGCCTTGCCACAAGCGATCACTAAAATTCACACGATCCTTTAAGGCCTAATGCTATAGAGCCGCAACACAGGCCAAAAAAACACAGTTTTATACCATGCAATTGCTGCAACTGCAAAAGAATTGCAACAAGAAAAAAAAAAAACACACCTCCAAAGCATGCAGAGCAATCAGGAATAGGCATTGTCTTAGCTCAGGGGTGGGCAAACTACGGCCCGCGGGCCACATCCGGCCCGTTGGTCATTTTAATACGGCCCGCCTCTGAAAAAAAAAAATCTCCTCTGAAAAAAAAATTGGGGCCGGCCAAAAGAGACCCCGCACCAAAAAATCGCACACACAACACGGAGCTGGGCAGCTGCTTCCCTGGTAGCGGGGACAAGGCCGCCGCCCGGGGAACACCCACTGCTTTCTCTCGCCAGGGCCGGGCGGTGGCGTGTTGCCCTGCGCCGCGTGGCCCCTGCCTGGCAGCGCGCTTCTCGGCTGGTCTCCTCCTCGGCCATACAGAACAAACAGGCAGAGAAGGAGGAGACCAGCCGGCTGGTTGGGGGAAGCTTTCTGCGCCAAAAGAGACAGCTACTAATCTCCGGCTTTGCTCCGCTTCTCCAATGGTCCGGCACCACCCTGTTCTATGCGCCGGCTGCTCGGACTTGCTGGGCCTGACACATAGAACAGGGCGGCGCCGGATGTTGGAGAAGCAGAGCGGAGCCGGAGATCATTAGCTGCCTCTTTCGCAGCACAAGAAGCCTCCCCCAACTGGCCAGGTGCTCTCCTCCTTCTCTGCCTCCTTCTCTGCCTCTCCCCTCTTGCTCCTCACAGTTGCCCTGAGCTGGTGCGGTTCTTTACTTGGGCAGCCAGATGCCTGCAGCAGCACCCACAGCAGCAACAGGCAGTTCCGCCCGGGCTCCGCTCAGGTGTCCGGCTGGGGCTGTCAGGAGGTGCTACCGCCGGCGCAGCTCCGCGTGGCTCCAGTCCCGCGTTGCCTTGGGAAGGGAAAGGCAAAACCAGGAGCCGCTGAGCCTGAGCCTCCGGTGCCGCTGCTGCCGTTGCAAAGCACCGCCACAGCTCTTCCTTTTTGCCTTTCCCTTCCCGAGGCAACGCGGGACTGGAGCCGTGCGGAGCCGCGCCGGCGGTAGCAACTCCTGACTCAGGGGGCCTCCGAGGGGAGGGGAAGGAGGAGAAGAAGGGGGGGCGATTCACAAAAAATCTTGTGCTGACCCGGCCCGTCTGTCAAATTTTAAAAGTCAATGCGGCCCCCGAGCCAAAAAGTTTGCCCACCCCTGTCTTAGCTGAACACCATTCCCCTTGTAGGCTGGGTCAGACAATGCGTTGCTCTTGTCCTAGCTGATTGGACTGAGTCTGTCAAAAAGGCTGATTAGCCTAGCTCTGCCCACTGTGGGTGGCTCCTCCCAGCTTTCAGCAAAGACATGACAGACAGGGCTGCCTCTGAAACACAAATGGAGACCAGTTATTGGCCCCCCTCCCATCAGCTCACATCCCGGACCAGAATAATCAGCGTGGGGCTGACCTATCTAACCTACAAGGAGAAATGGCATTCAGATAAGGCAATGCCCATTCTCCCTTGTAAGGCTGCGATTAGGTCAGACAATGGGACATACCATAGCTGGATTGTCCTTGGGAGGGTTCAAGTATACTCCTGGTCCCCATGCTCCGTGACCACTCTTTGCAGAACTCTTTTGCCAAACGCAGCATCCACCGAAGTGAAAGTGTCCAGATGGTAGTGGCGGATGAAAGGAGATGGGGATGGTCGACTTGCTTTGCAGACCTCTTCAATTGAAGCCTGCGTTGCCCAGGCTGCTGTTGTAGCAGCACTGCGAGTGGAATGAGCCGTAATGCCCCTGGGAACCGAAAGGGCGCGACTCAAATATGCCCTAGAGATACATGACTTGATCCATCTGCTGACTGTAGATGGAGTTACCTTCCCCCCCAACTTGGCAGGTTGAAAGGAACAAAAGAGGGATTCCATTCTGCGGAATTCTGAAGTTCTTTTGATATAAATCTTCAATGCCCTGTGCACATCTAGAGTGTGCCAAGATTTCTCCAAGACATGGACCAGTTTGGGACAGAAATCTGGAAGAATCCATTCTTGTGATCTGCGAAACAAAGGTTGACTTTGGGAATAAATACTGGATCCAACCTCAAAACCACCCAGCAAGGGTGGTATATACACAAGTCTGGTGAACTGAGAGAGCAACCAACTCAGATACTCTCCTGGCTGAAGTGATAGCCTTTGGAAATGGCTCTGGAGAGCCACCACTGAAAAGATTGCACCACCTTCTTGGGCACCTTAATGTTCATCAAGGAGTGACTCTTACCTAATTTTTGATGAGGCAAGAGAAACCACTGGAGGGCCCTGGAATGAAGCCTGACCCAGGGAACAATGCTAATACATGATACCATCTTACCTAAAAGTTGGGAGAGATGAGCCAATGGAATGGAACCCTCTCTCCGGATACGTTTAGCTAGCAACTGCAGGCTGTCCTGCCTGTCCTGGGAAAGGAAAACTTGACAAACCAGCGGGACAATAGTAGCTCCCAAATGAAGCAGACGAGTGGAAGGAGTAAACTGGTTCTTTTTTTACATTTATTGAGAAACTAAGCTCCTGCAGCACCAAAATAGTAGTCTGCAGGTCCCTCTGTGCCCCTTGAAAGGATGAGAATAAGATCAAAATATTGTCTAAGAAAGAACGCAGGTGCGCTGCCAAGGTAGCCAAAACTTTAGTGAAAACTCTAGGGGCAGAAGATAACCCAAAAGGAAGAGCCCTATATTGAAAATGATTTCCCAGATAACAAAAAAATACATAAGAAATTCCTATGGGAATGACAAATTGGAATATGTAAGTAAGCTTCCGTCAAATCAATAGAAGTGAGGAAGACCCCTGCCTAACGCTCTCCAGTATAATCTGGAGGGAATGCATTTTAAAACACTATGAATTTATTGAGCATTTTCAAATCAAGAATTGCAGTCCACCCCTTGAGGTTTTGGGGATGACAAAGAGTCTGGAAAAAAATCCCTTTCCCTGTTGGTCTTCCAGGACTGTTTGGATGGCTCTGAGCTCCAGCAAATGCTGGATAGCTGATTCCATGAGCCCCCTTCTCACCTTGTCCCTTGAAATAGGAGATAGGACAGGAGATAAAAAAACCTCGGAGGAGTGGAGTAGAACTCTAACGAAAGACCTAATCTTACAGATGTCTGATGTAATCTCTCTCCATTTGTCAACAAACCGAGCTAAACGTCTGCCAATGGGGAAAGATTGAGAACTGTTAGCGTTGGTGACGGTACGGCGACTTCCTCCTCCTTGAAAGGGTCGCTTGCCTGAGAACTGCTGTCTGCCCTTGCCTGGTCGATCTGATGGTGGCTCAGGATGTTGATAAGGGGACTTGGCAGACCAATGGAAGCTGGATCCAGATTCCGCCTGAAAGGACAGGTGCCTGAAATATGGGGCAGGCCGGTTCTCTGCCCTCTTGTAGAGCAATGGAAGCACTATCCTCTTATCCTTGGTTTCCACCAGGAACTGGTCTAATGCTTTCCCAAAAAGCTTGTCATCTCATACAGGAATCGATGCTAGCTTCCATTTTCTCCTGCCATCAGCCTGCCAATTACGCAGCCAACACATGCGTCTGGCTGTCACAGAAGCAGCAATGGCTTTGGCGGCAAACCTGATCCCGTGAAGAGTGGCATCCGCTGTGAACTCTGCTGCAGCTACTATCTTATTAAGATCTTGATGAGTTTGGATGTCTGCCACTGGGATCCTGTCCTGTAGCTGCTTCAACCAATTAAGGGACGTTCTGGTGAAGGGAGGTGCTGCTGTGGATGCCTTCACAGCCCAGGCAGCCGCCTGGTGAGATCTCTGCAAAGACTGCTCAGTCCTTTTCTCCTGCGCTTTGAGGATGTCTTCCGGATCAGAAGGAGCCGTAGAGGTAGAAGCCAATGATGTTACAGGTGCATCAACCATGGGCACTTGGAAACTCTTGGTAAGCTCTGGACCGACATTGAAGAATCTGCAGTCAGAAAACAAGGGATTGGGTACTGAAGCTGGTGAATCTAGCTGTTTCTGTAACACTTTCAGAAAAAGTCTGGGGATGATACCACCTCCTTCCTCATGGTCATCTCATCAAAAAGAGCTTCCAACTCCGTGGAAGCTGAGCTCCAACGTCTTCATCATCCGCATCTTTCAGGTTGGTAGTGTTTCTAGCCTTGAAGAGTAAAGGGGTGAATAATGTATGTTTGAACAAACCTGAAAATACTGGAATTTCAGGGGTTAGATCTTCATCCTCAGACATATCAGATTCCCTTTTTTTTCTGTCTCCCCTATCAAGGAGAGAGCAGCAGCAACAGGTGGAGCAGAAGCAGAAGCAGCTGGAGGAACACATTCCTGAATCAAGGAACCCCTGATTTCTGATAGCAGAGCTACCTGTTCATGGGATGGAATCACAGATTCCTCAGGGTATTAAGAACAAGGACGACCAGATTTAAGAACAGTTTTTATCCAAGTGCAGTTTTGAGTTTGAATGCGGGGTCATAAGATTTTTGTGGAGTTTAATGGCTGAGAGTAGTGGGGTATTTACATTTTTAAATTGTATAGAGATTATTGTGTGGTTGGTTGTGTTTAGTTTAATTTTTTTCTTTTTCTTTTTTAGTGGTGTTTGTCTAGTTTTACTTGTGGAAGAGCACCTCATTTCGTTGCGCCCGCTTGCGAGTGTAATGACAAATAAATTCTTATGTCTTATGTCTATACCTCTGAAGAATGGTGGACAAACCGTTGAATGCCTTCAGAGATTCCCTTTCTGATAGCCCTGTCTATCAAGAGCTGCATATTAACAGGGACTCCAGGCCTACTGCACTCTTGCTCCTGCCAAGGGACCACCCTGAAACCTCCCTGATGATCTCTATAAGGCCTTTCCCTCAGCAGTAGGATGTTGTGTGGAATCACCTTCAGCTACATCAGGGGACCAAGTGTGAGCCATGGTCCTGGGGAAAGGCCCAGGTTCCTGATCCTGTAGATCAACTGCACTTTGATGTAGAAGCAGGAGAGGTCTCTTTGTCTGGAGATCTGATCTTTGAGGCTTTTTGTATCTTGGCAATTTGCTTCTCTATGGCCTTCTGCCACCTGGAAGCATCCATCTCCTCCACCCTAGAGACCTTCTTAACCGGCAAGGCCTTCTTTCCTTGTTTGCTGCTTGAAGCAGATGAAGCTGCCCTGTGGGGTTTTCCTGCTCTGGAGGCCCTGCTGCCTCTAGGGGTGTCCACCATGTTGAAATAAGAAGGCCTTTCTTGGACTTGCAGCCCTGTGCATGGAAGGAGAAGCACACGAAGGGAATTAAACAGGGGATATCTTCTTGCTTATCCCCTAGCTCCAGACCACTCTTCTTCAGCCCTATTCAACTTCAGTAGCAGATTTTAGCACTTCCTACTGGGACTAACACCCACTGGGGCTTAATAGGCCTTCTAAATATAGACCAGGCCTGGCCTGAAGCCTGGAGGCCCTGGTCTACCTTGGAGAAAGGGACCAGGTCCCCCACCGGAACAAAGAAATTTTACAGCGCCTACCCTTCGTTGTCTTCTGGGCCAGCCACTTCCAGAAGCCAAAGGACTAGCGCGGGTCCTGGCGCTGGAGTGACTAGAGAAGCAGGCCGAACCTCCTGCCGAACAAAATGGCCACCGCCAGCCACAAGTCTTCCTGCTTCACCGAGGAGCCCGAAAACAGGCTCCTCGGCCTTTCGCTGCTCCCTGGAGGGAAGGAATAGCTCCTTTGGTGGCCACTCAAATAGCAGCCTCCTTCTTCACCACGGAGGCTCAAAAAGCGGCCCCATGGCCTTTGCCAGCTGGAGTGGCCCTCAGCTGTTTCGCGGCTCCAACAAACAGCTGAGAGTCGGAGCCATTTTTTGACCTTTTTTTCTTTTTTTCGAGGAATAAATTGAAGTAAGGCTGCCTTTGCTGAAGCAAAGGCAGGAGAGGCAATCGAGATGCGTCTGTCCTGCTGGGAGGAGCCACCCACAGAGGGCGGAGCTAGGCTAATCAGCCTTTTTGACTGACTCAGTCCAATCAGCCAGGACAAGAGCAACCTACTGTCTGACCTATCGCAGCCTTACAAGGAAGAATGAATGACTTGTTTGAACTCAAGGAAGAATCAGACTCCAGCTTCAAAATAATGCTTTAAAGTTTCCTTCTTTTCCTCTCTTCCTATACAGATTGATCACAATTACATGTGCCTGATTTCAATTTCATTTTAATGTAAGCCAATTAACGTACATTTAAAGTGACAATAAAGTTATTCTAAATCTAAGTCTGATTTATCATTCAAAATACTAAATTATAGAAGAAATAGGGACATGACCTATTCTTACCTTGGCGACCTTCATCATTGGTAAAAAGGCCAGTATCGCTACTGCTGCAAACACTGCTGGTTTCACTGGAAAGGGAAAACAAAGAATTAAGTATATATACATTACATATATACTTTTTTCTAAGAATAAATCCTTCACTGCCAGGTAACTTCTCACAAACTTTCAGCACAACAAATAATAGTGGTATTCCTTTATTCATCTCAACAATTTGATTTATCCAGACATGGGTGCCCCCAAAAATTGGATGGGTAAATATAAAATATATGGAATGAAAAATAAGTTAGGAAAATATTCAATAATCTAAAAAAAGAGACTAAGGAGACTAAGGAAAAAAAATACATGAATGCTTTCAGGGACTGCTGAAAACAGACTGCACATTAAAGAAATGCACAGCTTCAACGGTTTGTCGGCTCAAGCAAGAAGAACGCCGTCTGCCATTTTTAGTAATAGGCACCATGTACTTATCTAAGGGTTGTCCTTAAGTCAGACATTCTTAACCCAGAGACTGCCGTCATTAAAAAATATAAGAAACAGCGTATTAAAAGGAGAATCAATATTGCAGAGAAGGATGCCAGGCTGGAAGCTTGGGTGAGAAAAAATTGCCTCTTAACAGAATAAAGCTGGTGTAAAAATAACCTTTAAGTGAGCATTCTAGAGATATAGCAAAGCTGCTGAACATCATCTTGCTGACTGCAGCTCACCTAACATTAGTTTTTATGAGGAGACAAGAGACATGATGGAGGATATAAGGTTTAGTCAATCAAATGGGTGGATATAGAAACAGAGGGATCTAAGCTATTTAAACCTTTGGTGCTGCCTTCCAGAACATCTGAAACAAGCAGCCTTTAATGATTTGGGGGTTGTGTCCGTACGCCTTTGGGTCATATTGACTCCTGACCATCATCTGGACAAATTCTCAGTTTTCTTGGCAAGATTTTTGAAGCAATTTGCCATTGATTTCTTCCTAGGGCGAAAAGAGACGGACTGGCCTAGTTATCCAGTTGATTTTGTGCCTAAGGCAAGACTAGAATCATAGTCTCAAAATTTCTATATGATATCTTAACCACTATACTTTTATTTATTTATTTATTTGATTTGCCAATTGTTTACAAGATAATAAGTATAAATGTATACATAGTTGTGAATACATGAAATGGTTACATATAAGAAAAATAAAAGAATAAGAGAAACAATAGGACAGGGACGGTAGGCACGTTGGTGCGCTTATGCACGCCCCCTACAGACCTCTTAGGAAAGGGGTGAGGTCAATAGTAGACAGTCTAAGGTTAAAGTTTTTGGGGTTTGGGGAAGAAACTATACCAAACTGTTCCTTTTTAGTAAATTACATCCAGCTAGTAACTATAGTTTCCATGAATCCTCCATGAAGAGTAAGCAATGATTATTTAAGTTATTCATCATTGTACAATGAACATATAAAGAACATGCCTAAAAATAATTGTAAGGAATAATCATATACCAGTATTGCTAGTAGAAAGTAACAGATATCTATTGGTAGATAATAAGAGAAAATGAGCACAACTGATTGGGCACCTACACAGATGATTGAATGATGACATGAGGCACATTGTACAAGCAAAGGCAACATTACAGATTTTTCTCAACCTCACAATTATTTTGTTACTTTTATTAATTAAACTGCTTCAACTTAGTGTTTCTTAACTTTGCAATGTTTAAGATGTGTGGACTTCAACTCCCATAATTCTCCAGCCAATTGAAGCCCACACATCTTAAAGTTATCAAGGTTGAGAAACATTGCTTTTGCAGCCAGACATCAGATCTTTAACTAGAATAAAGGGACACAAATATCATGCATAATAAATATACATTTTTTAAAAAATAATCTTTTAATTGGGAGGAGGGGTAAAAAGCAAAACAATTTGCAGGATAACATCGTGCTTATATTACATGCGAGTATTCTCTCCATTTATTTCACTAGAAAGGAATGATAGACCTTCCTGGATAACACATACACCTCAAATCAATAGCCAGCATTCCAAATACTTCGATAATGATCACTCTGCTAATTATTATGATATGTGGTCAGCTTCATATTTTGTAAATAAAAACAAAGCAAGAAAATTAGGTGCCCTTGAATTTCTTTAAACAAAAGAGCACCCTCCGACATTCCTTCTGTTTATATGCTGTAGTTACAAATGTCAAGTGTATCTGACAATTACTTGAGGATCAGGTATGTAAGATACAGTGGCGGGATTTTTTTTTTTTTTTTTACTACTGGTTCTGTGGCCATGGCTTGGTGGGCATGGCAGGGGAAGGATACTATAAAATCTCCAGTCAGAGGTGGTATTTGCCGGTTCTCTGAACTACTCAAAATTTCCGGTACCGGTTCTCCAGAACTGGTCAGAACCTGCTGAATACCACCTCTGATATGATAGCATCTGATTTATATTTACTTATGTGGGGTATCTTTGTCAGTGTGATTAGAAAGACACTAAAAGATCCCATAATAATCAGCTTCTGCAACCATCTGTATCTCAGAATTAAATGGCTATGTTCAAAAATAAAAACATAGGGTCTCCCTTTCATAATTACTGAAAAATACAGATATTAATGAGGATGGGAGACTTAACACTTATTACTTGCTCAGTATTTTCTTGTTAAAAAACGTTTATTGCAGCTTTAGAGAACAAAACCACAGAAAGCATTACAGGTAGCCTCAACTTACAACATTTAGTAACTGTTCAAAGTTATAACGGCACTGGAAAAAGTGACTTGACCGTTTTTCACAGTTACAACCATTGCAGCATCTCCATAATCATGTGATTAAAATTCAGATGCCTGGCAATTGGTTAATATTTATGACCTTTGCTCCCTCCCAAGATTCGGGAATCACCTTTTATAATCTTCTGACAAACAAAGCCAATGGGAAAACTAGATTCACTTATCAACCGGTTACTAACTTATCATCTGCTTAACAACTGTGGCATGAAAGGTTGTACAATGGGGCAAAACTCACTTAACAAATGTCTCACTTAACAACATAAATTTTGGGCTCCATTGTGATCCTAAGCCAAAGTCTACCTGTATACGAAAGCAGACACCAATAGCTTCTCTAAAATTGGCCAAGATCAACTTGCTTCAATCGTACATTTCTCTTTTGTTAACATCAGGGTTGTACAACTTGATAGCAGAGTTGGAGTTATGAGGATCACCTCTGTCTTTAAATTGCATGTCTGGCACAGCACTATAAAGAGGAATAAAGCTATATAAAAATGTCTGAAAAATGACTGAGGGACAGCAATGAAACAGTAATATTATAGCCTATAATTTTCTGCATCGCCTGAGAAAAGTTCGTCTTCCTTCCTCTGTCCTTACCACTTTCTATAGAGGGACGATCGAGAGCATCCTGTCATATTGTATTACTGTCTGGTTTGGAAGCATTACTGCTCCAGACAGGAAGGCAGCGCAGAGAGTGGTGAGGATGGCAGAAAAGATCCTTGGAAGTTCACTGCCTTCCGTCTATCCAGGACATGGCATATAAGCACTGCTTGGGCAAAGTCTGCAAGAATGTCAGGGATGCTACACGTCCTCTCCATGATCAGTTTTCCTTGTTACCTTCTGGGAGGAGGCTTCATGGTATCTGAAGCAGAACATCTATATTCACAGTGTTGTTCCGTATAGCATCAATCTTGTGAACTCCCAAGTTACCTCCTTCCACTATGTATTCAAAATGAACAGTGATATATGGGGGGGGGGGGGGTATGTGCAGGTATATATTTATGTATGTATATATCATGTGTATATGTGTTAGGTATGTGTTTGGGTAGATATAAACTTTCTCTTGAGAGCAGGCAATAGAATTTCATTTTTAACATGGGCCAGTGTGCTCACAGTAAAAAAATGACAAGTTATCTTATTTTATCTATCTTATCTTAATTTGTACAATTATTTAACTGTTGAATGTAAACTCACAGTGATTCTTGTTCTCATTTCTCAATAAAAGATGTGAGCAAATTAAAATGGGAACATGCTGTCTTATAAATAAATTCTACCATACATCTACTTACAAGTCTTAAGTAGATAGGAGATAGTAGGAGAAGACAGTTAGGTAATTGGCAACCAAATTTAGGGTATAAAGGTATGTGGTTTTGACACGTATTTATTTTGGAAGTACTACCAAATCCTCAGATAGAATGAAACAAAAATAACCAAGTGACTAAGCGTCATTTCTTACTTTTCTCACCCAAATGGTCATATAAATTAGGCCCTGGGTTATTTTTACATTAAATTTTTGCTGGAAAGTTCACAGTTCCTTAGTACAGGCCATACAGTCCAGTAAGCACTGATTAATGACCTCCAGTTATAAAGAAGGCCACTTGCCTTAACCAGAAAATAATGAAAGCTATTGATCCAACAAGCTACTGCTATAGAGTTATTGATCACCCGATCTTTGCTTAAAATGGTCTTCATTTAGCAATTGTGCTATTGCCAACACCTGGACCAAAGCACGCCTGTAATTAAATAGTTCAGAAGAGTTAAAGTGAGAGGTGATGGACAGATCTCAGCTCTCCCCCATTCAGTTATGCTTCTGAGCTATTGTTTGTGTCAAGAAGAGTATTGATTTTCTATAAAAATAAGAAAACAAGAGGCACAGAGGGGGTGCAGAAGGTCAGGCTGGGCTGAAGAAGGAGGGGGAGGCTAAACACTCCATCTCTGTCACTTGCTCTGTCACCAAACAGGCAAGCACTCAGCTCTCTTTACCCCCAAGTTCTAAAGTAGCCACTTCAGGCTACAGCTTATACTCTTCACATCTGAGGAAAAAGAAAATAAGCTAAAAAAAAAGCCCAAGATGCAAGTTAATGATTTCTCATATTTGACACACTACAAAATGTATAAACCCATAGGAATAATGTACATCTATACATCCAAACTAGACTGTGTTGTTTCGCTGTGTCATATGTATGTGCATAATTTTGTATTCATTTATTTATTTATTCTGTCATGGTTATGTCGTGTATATTGGAAGTGGTGACCCTTTGAGAGATGCATGCAACGAAATTTCATTTTAATGTATGCCTATTAGTGTACATTCAAAGTGACGAAGTTATTATTCTATTCCATGGGCATCAAACTCATGGCGTCATGCTGCAGTCGTGTGACGTTTCGTGACATTTTTCCCCTTTGCAGAGCTGGGGTGGATGTAGCCTCAGCATGACGCATCTGGCCCATGGCCGCCAGTTTGACACTCCTGTACTATTCTATTCGACAAAATACTATTCATAATCTTGGCTATACTTTTCCTACTGTCCCTCCAAAGTGTAACTGACAACTTTACAACCTTAATAAGTAGAACTGTTTTAGACTCCATGCCTACTTCACTAAAGGACTATAGGACCAGGGGTGTCAAACTCGCATCTTCGTGGTGGCGTCAGATGACGTATCACGGCTTTTTCCTTCACTAAACCAGGCGTGGGCATGGCCAGCATGTGACACATCTGGCCCGCGAGTTTAACAGCCCTGCTGTGGACCTGCTGATTTTGATTAAGGGTGCAGAGGAATTGGGATGGATATCTCTGCTCATTTAAGAGAATTCAGAAAAAGCCTCACTTCAACTAATCTCTTCCTGACTGCTTATGGGTTACTAAATCTAGCATTCTTCTGAATTTAGAAAAGGCCAACATGTAATTCAGGACTGAATCAGTACGTATACTGCCCAACCAGTGCTGTCCACCTTATTTGACCTCTTACTGTCAGAAAAGAATTGAAAGCTTCTGCTTTCCTAATAGTTCCTTCAACAGGAAAGAAAACAATATACATGGCCATACATGGCCAAAAAGAAAAAAGAAAAACATATAAGAAGGGAGAAGAGGGATAAATGGTATGACTTTGATTAAACGCAAGATGATGAAGGGAAATATAAAGCAGTTCTTTGATTGTTTATTTGTATAAAGAATTAGCAATGAATTTCAGTTACTTTACAGCAGGAGTGTCAAACTCAAGGCCCAGGGGCCAGATCCGGCCCACAGGGTGCTTAGATCTGGCCCACGGGGCCTCCCTTGAAACAGTGAAGGACTGGTCCATGGTGTCTCTGCCAGCAAAAACGGAGCTCAGGAGGGCCGAGCTCCATTTTCACTGGCAGAGGGTTGCAGGAGGCTCTTGCAACTGAAAACGGAGCTCAAGCGCTCATTTTCTCTGTCAGAGCGCTTAGGCCACCATAGGTACCCCCAACATGACTGATGGCAAGCTGGCCACACCCACTCCGGACTCCTGAAGTCAAACACAACTCTGATGCGGCCCTCAATGAAATCAAGTTTGACACCCCTGCTTTACAGGATGTAATGACTAGATTATTCTCTTTACCCAGAAGCTATTTAAATATGGTACTAGTATGGGTTTCCTGAACTACTATTTCTAATACATGTTGAAAACCAATCATTAAGATCAATTCAAAGATCAATTTCAATAATATACAACCCAGGCAACAATACTTTTGTAGAGTTCTATCAAATAATTCAAAATTCATTCTATAAACCATGGAAAACACTTCTCCTCAGTATCCTAATGACTACCCTCTTTTTAGTTCTATCAAAAATTCTTCCATTATTTAAATATCAAATGTATAGATTATTAAGAAAGATATTTTACTCATCATATCTGACTACAATATCACACCTTTCACATATTCAATCAAAATGTAATAAAATATTTTTAAACAGATCAGCAATTCAATAAAGTCTGAATAAAAGTGTAGCCAAAAAGGTTTTCTTAACTACACTCAGATAACACTCTCAAGGTTACTCCAAAATCTACGGTATCTTCCAAGATCTTAGTAACTAAGGACATAATGGAAGAGCCAATTGGGCCTCTTCTTCTAACAACTTTGCTTCATTCTAAGTCTCAATCAATTGCTCATATCTTTTATAACTGATGACAAGAAACTGTTCAATTAAAAATAGCACGTTGTTGGAGGTAAGTGGTTTCAGAAAGTACATGCAGAACCATTTCTTCTCTCAATCTTCCTACAAGTGAAGAAATTTCACTTGAAATAGGCCAACAATTACATGAACCTTGACTTACTATTACAAGTTGCTAAACTCCATCTAGAACATATTATTCAGACCAAATGCAATTCATCTAAAATGAAGATACAAGTTATATGCCTCGAGAATGACCAGCAATGGAGATCATTATACATTCTCATTCAACAACCTTTAATTAGACTGGGGTGCTTAATGTTCTACTCAATCATTAGCATGAATTATGGCCACCTCAACTAATAGTTTCACAAAAATCAAAATAGTAGCATTTCTCTTGGAACATCTCCATTTCAACATCCAATCACTTTTCAGAAAATAACTGTCATTTAAAATAATGCTGACTAAACAATCACACTTTATTTTCTTCTTAACACTGGAAATTAGTCTCACACAAAATACTGGTCTATACAAGTATACCCTGTAAAACATATTTCCATACATTATCTAAGACTGGATCCAGTTAGTCTAGTTAAAAAGGGAACTACCTAAAGGAAAGAGACACTACTTGCAAAGAAACAAAGTAAAATATTAGAGCCTCAGGTAAGAGAAGAAATGTCTAGACATCTCACCATTCTGACATGTTTTCATCAGAACCCTGTTTCTGTTCATCTGCTTCACACTCCATCCTTTCATTCCTGCCCCCTTTGCTGAGGAAGGCCCTGGTCTCTGCTGACTCACAGAGTCCCCGGCCAGTTGATGTCCAGGGAGCATTCTCTTTCCAACGGGACAGGCACTGCTTTTTAGCTGATTTGAATCTGCAACCCTTCTCATAAGTCCATTCCGATACTCGGAGTTTCTGCTGAAGACTAGCTGCCACTTCTGATGTCACACGCTTAACTTTTCGACGACGCCTTAAGGGTCGACAAGGTGCATTTTCAGTGAAGGAGTCTGATTCATGCCATGAGTGTTGCTTATTCTTGAGAGCTGTGTTGAGAGTTGGATGTTTGGCTACTGCCATGTCATCAGAGTCACTAAAGTAAGCAGTTAGCACTTCCCGGCAGTCCTCCACAACTTCTTCTAGACTGGATTCTGAGGCCCCACTGTAGCAGCAAGCATGTTCTGCTTGGTGTGTAAGGTCTGAACGCCGCTTGCGTCCCCGTCTCTTACGAAGCTGCCGACGCTGCTGCCTTGGGCTCAGAGTCATTTCTTCCCATAACTCATCCAGTTTGTTCTGTTCAGAGGTCTGCTCAAGAGCTGAGGCCAAATCATGTACTAGCTCATCCATCAGCAATGTCTACCAAAGTAAAAAGGACACAATTAAATCAGCCATTTTGCATGTCATCACAATGGCAGAATCTATTTCCAAGTGACATAATATATTTTTCAAAAAATTACTTTAGCTTTACTTTTTAAAGAAGGAAAGAATAAAAAGAAGAAGATATAGTTAATCTATATTGTGTTACTATTTACAGTACTGTCTTAATAGTTAATACAGGTGTTAACCTGGTCTCTGTACCATATACTTCAATGACTTCTTTTTACAGAGAAAAGAAATTTAAAGAAAAACAAATGCTGTTCCTGAAGATAGGAGAAGGTCTTCTTGAGGTGATGAAGAATTGCAAGAATGGCTCTAAAATCCACTGAGGACTAATAACCCAAACTCTGTGTATTCCATTTCTGCAGAAAGGCACTTAGATGTAATATACAACGGTAATACTATTTGTTTATAATTGTCTCTCAGGCTAAACTATTTTACAGAATTAAAGAAGAGGCTTTATGCAATGGCCTAAAATCTATGATGTAATCATGGGAAGAAAACAATAATAATGGAAGGGACCATGTGTAAAATAGGCAATGTAGATAAATAAATAATGTAGATAAAGAGTTAGTTATATTACAGGTGGAGGGAGTGCATAACTTAAAATTTACCACAGCACCCACTTTCTCTAACAAGCATCTTTCTGTTCTATATCCATTCCAGTCAACTGACACCTTGCCAAGCCAAATTGAGAGAGAATGGCTATAAGGAAAGGGCCCGTTATTTCCTTTCTCTAATCAAACCCACTGGTGTCCGAACCAGCTACCTTATAAAAAGATCATCGCTGGGATCAAAGCGACTCTCCCAATTCTGTTTACTTAGACCGCCAAAGGCTGTTGGAAAACAAGCAACCTCGCCTGAAATTGTGGGGAACCGGTTCTAGATAGCGCCGAGAGGGAAAACAAATGGCGATCTAGTCCACCCACCACCCGCCATGCCATCTCCTCCGCAAACACACTGGGGGAGGCTCGGGTCTTCACCTGCTGCTGCTGCTGCTGCTGCTGCTGCTGGAAAGCAATAGCCGAAAGCATCGAGCGGTCTTCTGCCCCCGGACGACAAGGATCTTTCGTCCGATCCTGTTCTATTCCGCCCCCGATGCTCTCACACAAATCTTCCCATCCCTCCCGGCGCCGCCGCTGTTTTCCTGACTCTCCCAAAAACACGGGTGTCTCTTCCTCCCCCCCCCCCCCCCCCCGCTCCCTCTCCCCCTTCGGAGGGCGAAAGGCCTCCTCGACCCACCCCGGCAGTCCCACCCCGCTTTCGTTTCCGAGGCGGCTAGGCCACCGACGCTCAGCGCCGGACGCTCCCCGCTTCGCGCATCGGCTAACTCACTCGGCTCCCGCAACAACCTCCCCAACTCCTTCACCACAACCACCTCTCTAGGCCTTCCCGACTCGGCGCGGAGTCAGCTCCAAAAAAAAAAAAAAAACACCCGCTTCCGGTCCTAGGAGGGGGGGGAGGCATGTCCTCTTCTTCCGGAAACAATGACGTCACTCCTCGCCTCGGTACCAACGGCCGGGAGGGTCTCGCTGGCTCTCTCGTGCCGACGCTCGCAACGAGGCAAGGCTTGTCTAGGCGGTTGGGGGTGGGACGCTGCTCTGCCGCCCCGGCGATTTTTCCCCTGTTAGGGGAGGGAGGACTCTCGCTTGATCACTCCGCTTCTCCGGGTTAAACTCGCCGCCGGGAACTGCTATACCCACTTTGACAAAGAAAAGCCCTTATGAATCCAGCGGGATTTACATTTGGGGAAGCCGAGCCGAGGAACCCATGGCAGTCGCGTCCGGAAAGGGGGACTTTCTCTTCTCCCTTCGTGATCTCCTCAGAACGGCGTCGGTTTAAACTGGCGCGCCAGGATCGTTTCTGAAGAACCCCTGTAGTCCGCATTTGCCCCCTGACAGATATTCCATGCTGTCCGATTGGGTTAAAACACGCGAGCGCCCCTTTCACAGTTACTGAAGTGACACGTGTATTTGTGCTGAGAAGTAGCCGTGTCTCAACCTGAAGGGAGTTGCAGGCACAAAAGCCACTCGTCTTCTCGTTGTGTTTCTGCCGCTGCAGGCTCATGTCATTGTCAGCCCGTCTCTAGATACAGAGCAATCTCTGGTTTTGGCAGTAAATAACCAGACCAACTTGGCATCAGTAGGTGCTGTATATTTCCCCCACCCCTCCTTTTAAGTGATGGTGGCTATTTACTCTTGAGTTGTTTTACTGTATCCCACTGTAAACACTCTAGGAATAGGCAGTAGTAAATCACCTGAGACTGCCAAAAACAACAAAAAAGCACTCTGTTGGATGCATTTGGCCTTGAAGCCTTCAGGTATCCAATCATTCTTGAAGTATTTATTTTTTTATCTATCACAGATGGATCATTCTCCAATGGATTGAATTCATACATAATGCTCTTTTTTTATGTAGGACTTAAATTTACAACTAAGTATTACCTATCAATACTGGGGTGTTAGTAACTGTCACATTTTCATGTACTATGTGCACATTTCATTTGTATTTTTTCTCCAATCAGAAAAAAGGACCTTTCAAATAGATTGCTGCCTCCTTAAACCATAACCAAATTTCTAGGTTCTATCATATCACAAGACCTAAAAATGAACACCTAACATCAAAAATGTCATCAAAAAGCACAACAAAAAATGCTCTTTCTGCACCAACTCAGAAAGCTCAAACTGTCCAAGGAGCTGCTGATACAGTTCTACAGAGGAATTATTGAGTCTGTCATCTGCACCTCTATAACTCTCTGGTTTGGTTCTGCAACCCAACAAGACAACAAGACAGACTTCAGAGAGTAATTAGGATTGCAGAAAAAACAATTATTACCAACGTGCCTTCCACTGAGGACCTGTATACTGCACGAGTCAAAAAGAGGGCTGTGAAAATATTTACAGACCCCTCACATCCTAGACAACAACTGTTTCAACTCCTTCCCTCAAAACAACATTATAGAGCACTGCACACCAGAACAACTAGACACGAGAACATTTTTTTCCCAAACACCATCACTCTGCTAAACAAATAATTCCCTCAACACTGTCAAACTATTTACTAAGTCTGCATTAATATTATTATTAAACCTCCCATCCTTCCTTTCACCCATCTCCTCCCACTTATGACTGTATGACTGCAATCTTGTTGCTTGTATCCTAACTATTTTTATTGACTGTTTCCTAGTATGATTTAATTGCTTATTGTACCCTATGACGATTATTAAGTGTTGTACCTTATGATTCTTGACTCTTTATGAATGCATCTTTTCTTTTATGTACACTGAGAGTATATACACCAAGACAAATTCCTTGTGTGTCCAATCACACTTGGCCAATAAAGAATTCTATTCTATTCTATAAATGAAGCCGGTGTGATACTGTAACTAAATGACTAGGTTAGGGACAATTCAAATCCCTTCATGAAATTCACTGGTTGACCAAAGACTACTCTAAGTCTTTTTGCCACTCTCTCTTGATAAATTGAAATTTGAAATTTCATTGATTTTAAATCACACATAAATCCTAGGAGTCTCTGAATTAATCCAGAACACATCTAGGAGTACCCCTCTAAACATTGTTTTGGAAAACTAAAGGATTTATTTGCACAAATTCCCAGTGCCCTGTTTTGTCAAATGTTAAAGACAAGATCTCACAAGATTCAAACACTGAGATTTCAGTTGAAAATGTCTGACATCTTGCAGAATCTTGGTTTTGGGTGACCTTAACATTGTGTAAGAACCTGAGATTGCTGAAGATCAGAATGCCAAAATAATACAAAATGTTGTAGTGTCACAATGTTTTAGCTATTATGATTAATTATTATGGTCTGGTGTCTGAAAAAATTACCATGTTCTGTCCTTGCCATTTTAGTCAGCACATGTTTAAGTTTCTACGGGCTTATTTACAAAGTTGCATTAACATTTTTGTCCATAATTAAGTGTTCAGACTTCCTCAACTACTGGCCATGTTCACATGAAATATTCATCCAATTATTTTTACTATGATTTACTCAGTCTTGGTCTGAGCTTGCACAAAACAATGAATCAGGTTAAGGCCACACAAAATTCTAAAATAAAATGCAGTTTAATAATCATGATTCATTCTGTCATACAAATACAGCCACTATAAGATAAGACATAGTTTGCTACTTTTAATTCTTTAACAAGGTTTAATTAGAAGCGCCTTATTGGTGTGATTGGACAGCATATAAATTTAATAAATAAAATCAGCCCATTATTTCCTAGGACATCGATCAGATTTCCATATGGGAAATTAATCTGATGTTACACTTCTTTGGAGTAGATATTCAGATACCTTCTAAAAATGTTTTATTTGTTATTTGTTGACATCTAAGTGAATATATTTTTTTGAAGATTATTAAAGTTAGAAGGGGGGGGATTTCAATTTAGTGGGTATTCCTAAAGAGTCCAAGGCATTGTTGGATAAAGGAGTTGTAAAGATTTGTAGTGACGGTAAAGGACAACACAACCCTATCATTGCCTTGAAGAGTGACTATTCATATTTTGATACTAATTACACTACACTAATTAAGCATGAGCACTCAGAGCTGTGCATCCTGGGCCTTTGGAATATCTCTGCTGTTGTCAAAGGGGCCTCTCAACAGCTGAAGGGAGAGCATCTTGCTTGGTGTGTTAAGTAATATATTCCTGTTAAATTCTGCCTACTAAAGTTATTAATAAAGCTTACATTCACTGGTTTCATTGTCTCTGAATCTTCAATTCATCCTCTGAACCAATTGTCTGGCACCTGGCCACTGCCTGACTCTTGGCAAAACATTACTATGCTCCTAAACTTCATATCACCTACCTGATTTATTGTTATGTACATTCACTTGCTTTAGGATATGAAATTCTTATTTATAAAATTACCAGTGAGAAGTTCACTAACCTCCAGCCTTTATATAAATTAAGTAACATTTCTCCATATTGAAATTATGTCAGGCATGTATTGATTCCCTTAAAATTTATACTTTCTATTGGAATTTACCTTTCATTCTTGGCAAGTTACTCATGAAAGTTGTTACCTTCTTTATCATGACTAAGATTCATGTGACTTATACAATAATTTTTGTTTTGAATCGCTACTCTGTGCATGTGTTTGTGTTTTGCACTCACAAGAAAGAATTCTGTCTTACTCAATAGGGCTAATTTTGTCTATATAGGTTTGAGTCTACCAGGAAGGAAATAGTGTTAATTTTTTTTAAATGTTCAGACAATGTCCATTTAGATATGTGTTATGAATCTGGGATTGCATATTATTCCTTATTATTTACTAGTTTAATATTTTTATATACTGCTAGCCATTCAGTGTTTTTGTAGTGCATTGGGCAGTCATACAGTTCCACTAATAAGTAAATATAAATAAGGCAGTGGCTTTCAGAAAATCCAATTATATCCAATGTGCATACAAGGAAACTAAATGAGCATTTAGCCACCAGTCTTTCCTCCTGCTTCAGGCTGTTTGCCTAATTTTAATTGCTTGAAGTGTCACATGAAATCATGCATATATCATTAATGAATCAAGTTAATTGTAAAATAGGGAATTTGTAAAAGTGTAAAATTACTCCTAAATAAAGATCCTTAGTGATGTCTTTGGGCTGTGGAATACTAACTTATAATTGAAATTTGAAGGGTTTTTTTTCAAAGCTCATTTTTCAGCATATTAAGTACATTTGATTGAATGCAGTGATAGCACTCCCACTTCTCTGCTACAATTTCATGATTAATATCTCACTCAGTATGATAGCTTGTCCACAAACTTCTGTTTCTATTATAAAAATAAAGGTAAAGGTTTCCCCCGCCAGTCATGTCCGACTCTAGGAGGCAGTGCTTATCACATTTGATAAACACTTATTCACAGCCAAAGAGCCAATGTTGACTGAAGATCAACATTTCAACATTTCATGGTCATGTGGCTGGCGTGACTATATGCAGAAGGTGCACCCACCAAAGTGGTACCCATTTATCTGCTTGTATTTACATGCTTTTACTAGGTTGGCAGGAGCTGGAGCAAGTAATGAAAGCTCACCCTGTCATGCAGTACTTAGATCTTGAACTGCCAACCTTCTGCTCAACAAGCCCAGCATCTTAACCACTTGGCAGCCACGCCTGCATAATATGGGTGAAACCAGGCTCAATAGCAGTAACTGTGAGAGGGATCTTGGAGTCTTAGTGGACAACCAGCTAAATATGAGCCAGCAGTGTGCAGCCGCTGCCAAAAAAGCTAATGCAATCCTAAGTTGCATTAACAGAGGGATACAGTCAAGATCAAGGGAAGTACTAATACCACTCTATAAAGCCTTAGTAAGACCATACCTAGAGTACTGCACCCAGTTTTGGTCACCACATTATAAAAAAGATGTTGAGACTCTAGAGAAAGTACAGA